CGGTTACAGACAGTTTTTTTATTTTTTAGAAAATATTTGGAAAGATATGGTGAATATTTACTAACCATATTTCCTAGATTTTAGGATATTTTCTACCACCCATAGACAAAAGGAAAAAACTGGAAGATGAATTCTACGAATGGTGGATTATAGTAGTTACAGTAGAATATATATTCCGAAAATTGGTAGAATATAGAACAAACATTAGAACGTGTACTCTACCAAATCAATTAAATCGTAGAATATAGAGTAATGAGTAGAACCTATATTCTACGAGTGCGTAGATATATCAATAATCCGTAGAACCTATATTCTAAATACAGTAGACTCAGACCAATTTGTGGAATATATATTCTACTACCCCGTAGACGGTAGAATTTGATTTCTGGAAAAGGTAGAATAGAAAATTATTTTCAATTCTAACCATATTTTTAAAATAAAAAAAAATATACTTATATTCTTCCCAGTGACTCTTTTATTGTTTTGAATTTTTCTAATTTTTTTGGCTGTTAAAATCATTTTAATGATTTATTAGAAATGTCCAAAGGGCAAATTAGGTAAAAATAGAGAAAGGGGTAGTAGGACAAAATCAAATCAAATTTGACCCATTTACACAATTTTCCCTTTTTAAAATTTATTTTTGCTAGAAAATTCTTATTATTTGTGGAAATCTTCTTGTAGAAGTATAGACCTTTAGATCAAGTAAATTACAAGTCATTCAATCGATATATTTCTTCTCTTGTCAGGATTTTTAAGAGTTAAAGCTTAAGAATATCAACTTGATAGGATAGGTTTTCTTGATCTTGAACTCAATATTCATCAGTCGGATTTCTCCACTCAGCACCACTAAGCCTTTCTTCAAAAGAACACCTTACTTCTTCTATAGCATCTGAAGAGTCCGAGGAAGAGCAATGATACAAATGAGAAACTATCGAAAGAAGTATTGAAATAACAGAAACCACTTTGGATATTAAGGTCAAGATTAAAGAGCATAAACTTAAATCTACAAAAATCACAAAATTTGTTCCTTAATAATATCATAATGGAGAATTAAGAAAAAAAATCAAAAATCATTTTTTTTTTTTTTACAAAGCTTTGACATCTCAACAACTATTTGATATCTAAAATGTTAGTTTAGAAAATTATTAAAGCCGAGTTATTATGCTAGTAATATAGAAATCATAAAATTGATTTTTTAGTTTTTAACAAGGAAATCAAAAGTCTTAACTTTGTATTAATTTATTAATGTCAAGATTAAAGAGCATAAACTTAAATCCACAAAAGTCACAAACTTTGTTCCTTAATAATATCAGAATGGAGAATTAAGAAAAAAATCAAAAATCATTTTTTTTTACAAAGCTTTGATATCTCAACAACTATTTGATATCTAAAATGTTAGTTTAGAAAATTATTAAAGCCGAGTTATGCTAGTAATATATAAGAGATATTCTAATTTTTCAGAATGTTGATCACTGTTTTAAGGCACTATACTATATTTAGTGTTTTAGATTAATTATATTGTTTAGTATCATATTGAAATATTTTGATACTTATCTTTAAATATTAAATTACTTAAACGTATCTTTCATTATCTTACAAAAAAAAATATTTTAAATATCAAAAGATTCATTAAATGTTTTTTTTTTGAGAAATTTCATTAAATGATTTGTTGATGATGTTGAAAACATTTTTTAGGAGCAATTATTAGAAACATAGATGAAACATTAAGAAATAATTATAAATAAG